AAATAAAATAACTTGTATACATGGGCCTTGGCAGCTGGTGGCTTCCATGATAGTGGAAAATACACGCTGTGAGTTTAGCAGGCATGTTAAAGGAGCTGGCCAAGGTTCTGAACCCTTGTTGCTGTGTGCCTTTGAGTCATTTTAACTCAGGGGTAGGCAACCTTTCCCCTTTAAGGGCCGAGGGACTTCAGCTCCCAGAAGCCTCAGCCATGTTGGCCAATAGTCCTATGTTGGCCAATAGTTCCTGGGATTCTGGGAGCTGAAGTCCCTCGGCCCTTAAAGGGGAAAGGCTGCCTACCCCTGTTTTAACTTATGGCAACCCTAAGGTGAACCTATCACAGGGTTCTCTGGGGCTGAGAGTGTGTGACTTGCCCAAGGTCACCCAGTGGGTTTCCATGGCTGAGCAAGGAATTGAACCCTGGTCTTCAGGATTGTAGTCCAGTGCTCAAAACACTACACTATGCTAGTTGTCTTATGAACCCTATGCTCCCCCCTTTAAAATCTGAACTAGGAACCTTACTGCATGAGAAAACAAAGCCAACATGTTTCAGGAGAATAGCAGCTTTCTCTGTGCCTCTTTGCATGGCGTCCCAGTACTTCCATTTTCTTCCCGACGGAGGTGGTTGTAAAAGGGTGTCTTTTGTCAAATGGATTTTTCAAGTGTGACAAAAGGAATGCTTTTACAACCATCTCTCTTGGGAAGTGAGCGGAAATGCTGTGAGATGATGCAGAGAGTCATGGAGAAAGTTGCTACTCTCTTGCTCCATTTCAGCTTTCTTTTCTCATGTGATAAGGCTCTTAAATTTAAAGTGGATTCATCACACCACTGGCACTGGAGACATCAGTTAAATGTCACACATGGGCCAAACACAATGTGACCTGGTGCTTCTCTGCAGCACAGATTTACCTTGGGGAAAGTGCTCAAAGTTCTCCAGTTCAGTGTCCACCCTTGGCTTTTCCTGAATATGTGAACTAGACAAAAGCCTAAAATGTAAAGATACACACCTAAACACTAACATCAGAATCATGAAAACAACTGTAGTCCCCATCACCACATACAGATGTGAGAGCTGGTCAGTGAAGAAAGTGTATAAGAAGAAAATCAAATAGTTTGAGATGTGGTACGGGAGAAGAGTGGTGAAGATACTGTGGACAGCCAAGAAGACAAACAAATGGGTCTTTGAACAGACCAAGCCTGAAATACCCCTAGAAGCCAAGACG